TTCTAGTCTTTATTCCAACATTATATTTCAATTTAATAACATCAATTTACAATTTAAGAACATGCCATTTAATTTAAGAAGCTCACAAATTACAAATTTTAACCATGCATGTGCGGTATTCTATATTCTTGTTTAACTGAATTAGAAGCTAGAAAATAATGCTAATAAAATTGTACCCGTATATTTCTATACATTACCAGATGAATATATTTTATGTGTTTTATTCTTATTGTTCGCAGATTGACAGTCAACTACCAGAGCACATATTTTCCTTACATCATCTGGTACAAGTATGTAAGTGAAGTATGCAATACCACATAATCTAAGCCAGGATTTCTCAAACTGTACTACTAGTACCATTAAACATGCCAAAGCATCTTTCCATATGTTAATAAACAGTACATTTCTAACAGTTATTGCTATTATATAATAAATGTAATGAAATAATCCACAGTGACACAAGATATACTTGTAAGTTACAATATCTGCAGCTGCTGAAAACAAAGAGAACTGCTTAGGTTGTGCATTTTCCAAGTTTTTTTTTCATGGGATCTAAACGTTTATTTTACCTGTTTCACCTGCTACCAAGTACAAGATGTCAGAGAATTGTTGCTAAAGAAAAATCTTTAGCTTAGAAATCAGACATTAACCAATGACAGTTCTAGTGGGACCAGTGCCAACCAGTGAACAAAAGATAATGTGCAATTGCAGAAAATGTTTACAAATTCTTTGTTTTCAGGTCTGTCTTTATTATTGATTGATTTCAAATTATCACATACACATGGGGTAGGGGCAGCCTCAATATCTTGCACACCAATGAGATGCCACTGATGGTTGCTGTTTCAGTTCTGTTTCATTTACAGACATTTTTATCCCCCATGCTACTATAAACTACTTAGCAAGAACCCATATTGTGGATTTCCTTAAACATACACTCAAAATTTTCTTTCTACTGTGAACTTTCTGCTTGTAGTGTGACAAGTGTCTGAAGTGTACTGCTTTGAATACTGTTTTTATAAATAAAGATTCTAAAATTCATGATACAGTTCCTGCATTTCCAAGGGAGATGCACGACCAGATGACCGCTGTGTATCAGGAAGGTGTACCATCATATGACACAGTGGTCACTACCTCTTGTGGCCATTTACACTCACAGTTAGTCTATAACCTGGTACTATTTGAAAAATTAGGGACAACTGACAAATATTTTTATGCATCTAAGACCTACAAGACACTTAAGTGCTGGTACAAATAGCTCTTGAAACCATTTGGATTAGTCTCTACATGTTATTAAGAAGGGTTCATTCAGATTTACTTGAAAGAATAAGTCTTGGTCTGGCATCATCATTAAGGAAAAGTTATGATTATACTGCATTAGCATCAAATCGTTACTCTCTTCCTAATGTTGCTCCAAGTGGAGGATTTAGAACTCTTCAAACATGGATTAGAGCCTGCTTATCACAAATAGTCAGGAATAAAGATTTTAAGAAGGTTATCATAGCAGCATCTCACATGAACAAGAAAGATTTCATCAAAAGGTTGTACTCAAGTCAAGTTATTCCTGCAAAGGCTTTGTGTTCTCTATGAAACAAGTGCTGCTGGCCTACTTGACGAATTTATTCAGAAATTCAGTTCAGCTCGGTCAATGTTAATTCCTTTAAGAGCAGTATATAAAGGAAGAGCATATGGAATTATCAGAGCTGCAAGATTCCAAGACAGAAAAAGGCTAAGATCGATCAGATCTTTGATTCAAAATCCTCAAAATTTTCCTAATGACGTCAGGATTTTGGAAATCCTAAGAATTGGAGATGACCACCAGTGTCCAAATCAAATAAGTGAAATGTTAAGAAACTATCTCTGGAGCAAAGAGATCATTGGAGTCACTTATCCATGCCCTGTGGATCAACTCAAATTTATCTTGCCGACTCATGAAGAACTCAGATCACAAGGACTCGTTCATGATACCTTTACACTTTGGATTCACCCAACAAAAGGGCAAAGAAACCTCTGTTATACACATGGTCCTGAGGAAATGTTCCTTGGTATGCATACAGATTTAAAGGTTCTACCACCACCAGTTACTATATCCGGGTCATCACCAGGACTTGAAAGAGCTGAGAAGATCCTTAAAGTGGCTCCACTATTACATAAATTAGGGCCAGTTGTGATGGAATATGTCATTTCCAATTTAAGTGACATTAGTGGAATCAATGATGATCTCCTATTAAAATGCTGTTGGAAGTATATATCTGGTTCAATTTCACACCGTGTTCCAGCAAATCACTGGTCCCTTATTGTAGGAACCAATGAGCTTCCTACACGGACATCATATGTGGGTCACAAAACCTCCATAGATAGGGCTCTGGGAGGACTTCATGGGGACTGGACCATCAACTTTGGCAGTTTACTTGCCTTTGAAATGGCTGTTCCTCTTTATGCTACCGAATTTAATGCCTGGCAAAACATAGTTAACCAAATAACAGTTTGGGTCAGACTTCAAAAAGAGTGCCCACACTGTCTTCAAGCTATAGATGATACTGAGGTCTCCTGGGCAGCATATCCAAGAAGTGTTAATAGAGGAATAGCAAACAATCCATATGTTGGATTTAATGTTCAACAAAGAGGGAAATTAATTGAACAGATCAACCTAAAACTCCAATCTATTGTTGAACAAGTAAGGGTGCACAAGGCCAACTCAGAGCATTTTAAACAATTGCAAATGAACTGGTTCGGGACTTAAGTAGAGGTTCAACCAGTGTTGGAATTATAGACAAGAATTTGTTTTTTCCTAAGGACAAACTTGTAGCTAATAAGAAAGCAGTCTTCTGGGATTTGGCACCGTGTATATGTGGTGTTAACCGACGTTTCGGAGGAACGTATCGCCCCCATCTTCAGGGTTGAAGAAGTATAAGTAAATCTGCAAGCGACAACACCGTGAGACACGGTCAAGCAGNGAATTAAAACACATTCCTGTTGAAAACATCATTGAAACATTATATGATGTATTCACTCAGTACGTTTTTACCCATTTCCCTCACTGCATCAAGTTTAAACAAGAATACAGATTGATGGACCTTCATTTTACAAGATTTCCATTCTCTGGAATTAGTCAGTTAATCCTTGAATCAGGATACTGGGATGTATTAAAGGGTCACTTATGACGACATCTAGGACACCTATCATTGGCTCTTCCAAAACAAAGTTCTGATATCCATTGAATGATTGTTGAGTTTCTTAACATTGAACTTCAACAAGATCTTGCAATGAAGAGGGGAACATTAATTTGAGTGAAATATGAAATCTACATCGCTGATTTCCTTGCAACTGAAGAACTTCATGATCGTCACAAAGATGAACTTAATAATTTGTCATGGAATCCATTAAATTAAGCTACAGTGTGTTCATTTTCTCTTTCATCAGAACTGTGCTAATTATGTGGCATTAAAATACCACAATACAGATTATGAAGGGTAAGTCTTAAGAAATAGTTTTCATTTTTTGCATTTTTTACGTGAGGGTTCTACTGGTTTACAGTATATCAAACCCTGAATCTTGGCTTGTGTAAAATAAACACACAACATTACAGTCTCATTATCCATATAACTCGTATCCTGTACATACTGTCATGTGCTAGTGACTAGGTCTGCATTGATAACTGGATTTACTAAATATTTATAACTTGTAACTATAACCATTTCATACACCTACACACTCAACAGGTCACTGTAATTACAGTATACATAAAGTCTTCTGGGCCTTCGCTGGTCATTGCCTGGAGGTTCTTCTGCTTTGGTGCTCACGTCCTCACAGGATGGCACCTGGCTCACAAGTAACTCATGACTAATGAATCCCATTCTTCCTTGATATATAGCTGTGAAAGGCACCACACTGAATCAAGCGCTAGCCAATCAGCACGGACCATGGCCTTTCGTCCATGCACTACCTAGTGATAACGTACCTCTTACATGCTAGTCATCAATCACAGTCTAGAAACCATCTACTGCTAGGCAACAGTTCAGTAAACTTGCTTCTGCATGCCTTGGCATGGATCGCATACAAAACATTGCTTCCAACATTTCTTCTATTGTTGTGAGCATGTGTTGCTGTGGGAGTGTGTTCATCAAGTCATTGCCTAGCAATGGCAGCACAGGAAACATAGTGTCCTCTATTGTTACGTGCTTATTTGTTGCCACAGGCATCTGTTTACTGTGCCATTCATACCAGTGCTCCAGCTTTCATCTGTCATGCCACAATATCCATCCAGAATATATAGACAGGTTTCCTGTTAGCATGTATTAGTTAATATAAGTTTTCTTTCAATGGGTATTCATCACTATACCCTTCAGTGACTATTTACTCGTATGTTCAGTGAGAATTATTAACATTTAAGAGTTTCTATACAATTTCCTTCCATGTTATTCTAAGTGAAGTGTATCCTAATTTATGCTTAGTCAAATGTTAAATACAACAAGAGACACAAAGACAGCAGTTAACAATACGTAAAATACAGGTACACTTAATTCTGAATTCTGATGAAATGTCATAAAATTGAAAAAGACAGAATTACATAAATTACAGAATTTACAATATCATATGCACACAAATTACACATGAAATATATAAACAATTAACTTCAAAACTACATACAAGATACATTGGAATTAACCGTATATACAGCTATGGAATCTTCACAACCTTTGCATAAAAATTTAGAAAACATATGAAGAAATCTCACTAACTGGTCTATACTATAAGATTAGCATGATCTTCAAAAACTGAAAATAGGTCAGTTCTAAAAATAAAAAAAAAAGGTAAAGTCATCCCCGTGACAGGCCGTGCAGGCCCATAGGGTTTCGAAACGTCAAGGATCCCGGATTTCCTAAAAAATCGGCTCTCAGATGGCAGTGAGGGTGTCAGCCTCACATGCCAGCCACCCTTTACCCCCAGGAAGATTCCTGGTACTCACTTAGATTAGATGCTGAGTTGACCCCAGGGACATAATGTGGCTGGAAGGATTAGGTCAATTGAAAAATCCACTGACCTCATTGGGAATGGAATCCACAACCTTCTGGCTTGAATCACAGTGCCTTGACCAACTATGAGGTCGATCCTAAAAGTAATCAGAAATAGCCTTCTTCAAATGTGTCTAACAATCCAAATGACACATGTCACATGTCATAATGCCACTGCCTAGGAAGATTTTACTGCTTTAAAAGAGAGAATTTGTAACTCCACATTTAAAAACAAGCCTTGCTCCATTCCAGTATTTCATTTTAGACTTTCAGAGAACGAATCAAATGCACTATGTAGTGCATTCCTTGACTGAATGAATTCAGTTATCTACAAGGGTTACACAACATACCTATGTTACACTCTCTAACAGGATTTGTCAGAAGCTACACATCTCTCCTGGGAAAAGTATTTTGATGGCTATCAAATTTCTCCTCTCTTCAGTATATATTAACCTAAAATATTTTTCCCATATTAAGCATATGTTTGGAATACAGCAATACACTAATGGATTATTTTAAAATTATTAAGAATAAAAATTTAAACATCCATGCACAAAAATGTATGCACTACCATAGTTGTATACTGGAGGTTATGCTTTCTTTAGATATCTAATTTCATTTTACAGGTCCCTCTAAAAATAGAAGTGATGTAAATAATTTACACGCTTTTTGTTAGCACATATTTCTCTTTTTTCTTTATTCTGTAAGCAATTTATGATTTACAAAATAATGGAATATCCTAACATGGCTACACAGTCTTACAGCAGAGTTCTATCTCCTGAAATATAACACCATGTAGGCTGCTGAATGTGAACCAGTGTTTCATAGGAACATATCACCTCCATTTTCAGGGCTTACTCTTTGACCCTGAAGACACAGGCAACATGTTCTCCTGAAAGGTCAGCTGACTTTCAACAGTCTGCACAGCTTTATATCCCATGAGACAGAACTTTTTATAACCACTGCTGTGAGGGCCTAAAATCCTAAACAGTTTTCTAGCATTCCACAACTCATGGTATAATATTTTCCTGCCATTACTAAGTATTTATAATTTATGAGATTATGATTTGTACACTCTTCACATGCATTCAGCATGTACTTAGCAGTGTTTTTAATTAGAGAAAAATGTGAAGTCTGACTTGTCAGGTGCTTCCTCCTCTGTGACAAAATGTTCAACAAAACCATATACTGCCACTGCTGTGAAAAATGAGAGAAACACCTATCTTCTCAGTCTCTTAGGAGACAATCGCAGTTCAGCTCCAAATATTATGAAGCCCAGTGTAAGGTTTCATTCTTTTTTACTTTCCCTCACTTGGGTTCAATTTTTAAGGTTCCAGCTCAGCCTCCTAAATTTTAAATTTCTTACATAGATTTCCCACCATTTAGTTACATTTAAAGTTTCTGTAGTACAGAGGAATTTCAAGTGGATTTTTTGGCGCACATGAAGCTGTGGTTAAAGGTCATTTAGTACAAGTATCTCTACACCACTCTTTTGAACTACAATGCTCAGGTAGAGGCAGCAGAACATAACATGTATCTACCTCTGAATAAGGAACAAGTGTTCATTATCAAGACTACTGATTTAATCTGATTCACAAAGCAGAAATCTGTGGTGTTATGAAACAGAGGGTTACATCAGTAAACATCACATTTCAGAAGAAGAAAAAACGTCTGATGTGTAGGCATTAATGTATATAACTTGATAAAAAGTATTGTGCTTAAAGACATAACCTTGTTTTCATCTGATCCCTTCAATGTGAACAATTCTGTGATGACCCATCTCATTTGACTTACCCTCTTTTCCATATTGCCTCAGAAATGTAACTGCAGCGCTGTCCTTTATGTGTGAGAATACTCAACAGCACATGCTGAAATTGTAATATCTTTCAACTTTTCATGGCATGTCAATTATTTGTTTACAATAAATACAGAGAATGGATAATAGATTCAGTTGCATTAAACTTGAGTATGGCAGAACTTGTAAAACAGTTCTTATTACTTGTTCTCTTTTCTTCCACAAATAGTATAAAAAGCAGGATAAAAACACTATTAAACATTTTGTATAAACATTTTAAGAAAAATTTGCATCATATTTCTCCCACTTACTAAAAGCATCAAACATATTATTTTGCATTCATTATACAGCTAATTAAACATTCTGACAATTATATTTATAAAATTAATTCTCTGAAGAGTGTTTTTAATTTTCATATGAGTATGCAAAGATGATATCTAAATACTATTTAGAGGTAATAATAATAATGGAAAAGTAATAGAATACAAGGTAAGAAAGACAAAACACACTACAAAAAAACCCCCTTCGAATTCAGCTTTGTCAATAACAAATCCCAGTATACAGATGTGCCTTGAAGATATATATATATCTGTAACTGTTAATTGTATTTTAAATACAAGTTTCCGTTTTTTCAATTGTGTTTTTAAAAAATATGTTTATGAGGAATGCATTCATAAATAAATTTTGAGACATGTAGAACTCAATTTCAAGTGGATGCATGTAAATGACATGCATTATCATATTAAGCTCACTATTTAAGTATGTAAGCGATAAAACTACTTTTGCTTATTGTCTTATACAGTAAATTTGAACAATGTGTTTTACGAGTCTTCAAATTATATACCTGCAATTCATATGAAACTCCCAGTATAGTAAGAGAGAAATTTTCTAAATCTGCTCCTGTTCGTTCATTTACATTTTGTTACTTACATGTTAATAATTTGAGAAGAAAATTATAACTATATAAGGAATGCAAAACAATATAGTTTTGTTGAACTGCCAAGTAACTAATTTACGGTTCACTGTCAGAGAGATTCTTTACTTATAAAGCTCATCTACTGGCAATATTTGATGTAGAGAGTTGTAGAGTTGAGTGGTTCTGTGCAAAGTAATCCATACATACTCTTACATCACATACATATTCTTCTATTTTTTACAGATCTCTGGAACTATGAAAGTTTGGCTATCATGTTTAGCTTCTATATGGTCATAACATACAAGTAAATTCTTTGTTCCCTCCCCCCACCCTTTCAAGCAACTAAAATTATACTGTTATGCTAGTTCATGTAGGAACTGTCAACACGCTCTAAACTAACTACTCATATTCCCAATCCAAAAGTCTTTGTTTCATATTAATGCCCAAAGGGAGATGGGACAGCAATTGATGAGTAACTACTGAACTATTTACAACTCCCAGTGCGATGGCAAGAGATAGCCACGGCGCAAGAGCATATCCAGTATCTGTCTCTCTCTCACTCCCTCAACATTTGCAGACCAAAGTGGAAACAACTTGTTTAGCAGGAGCCAACGTAAAGACACTCCACTGGACACTCCTCTGGATGCCTCTGTCCCAGGCTGGGCTGATCTTCACATAGGCTTGTCAATGATAGCAACCCCTGCATAACTGCGACCAATACCCATTGAAGATGGCAGCATTGACCAGGAATCTGTTTTAGGATTATAAACTTCAACAGATGCTAGGTTGGATGTACCATCATCCCCACCAACCACGTACAGCAATCCATTGAGGGCAACAACACCTGTGACACCATTAATAACTGTGAACTCTCATTTCTCATGATACACTTTCTGCGATGATAATGTTACTTATGCACCTGAAAGTTGACTTACTTGCGAAAAATATGCTTCTAAATATAAGGCCCTCTCATTAGAAGTGCAATTAAGGGTTATATAAAATAAAACACAGAAATTGCAATTACTTGAAAATGAAATCATAGAAAAAGACTGACATTTAGGCCTTAAAAATTATGTTCCTAAAACAGCAGTGTGGCAATGAAATGAAGATCCGTGGATCAACTCCCTCATGTCTCCCTCAAGCTGTTACACTTTCCCCAACAACATACGTCCCTGCATTCCTTACAGTCATCTAACCGTTATGTGCACATGAATGTTGAAAGTAATAACCATGTGATAAACTTCCCTAATGACAAGTGCTTTGGATTTCCTGACATAGGCTACAGGGGACTGATGGGTAATACAATAGTAGGCATGAAGGGGGAAGCCTCAGGCATTGCCATCCACACCCATGATAGGACTTCTATCTTCAGCCTCAACATAGACAAGTACAGGGTATATCATAAACTTGTGTTTTATAACAATATGATAAGATTGGCACACATACCTGCATTCCTCCTGCACAGTGCCATATCCGCAACTGGAGTCCAAGTTTTAGTATCTGGATTGTAAGATTCTACACTCTTTCGCACCAAGGGCCCATCATGGCCCCCTACTGCATACAAAATTCCTTCCAACACACCAACACCTACACAAGAAAATCATGAGTCAGGTATTCAGAGGTAGTGAAATGTGAGAAATGGTCAGGTGAACATAGGAGGGCAAACACACGTAACTTTAAATTTATAAAATAAGGATTTAAAAATGGCCAGTAGCAGAACCTGAGATTTCAGTAATGTTCAACCCCAGTCTGATTTAATCAGTAACAACATGTCCCTTTACATATTTAGACCGTGAAACTCTTTTCATCACTACTGGATTCTAACATCAAAGTTAAATTACTAACAGAACACGCCTTTGTTATGAGTAAGGACACTAATCTATCCTGCAACTTTTGTTTCATAGCATGTAATGAGGGAATAATTAAAAAATAGATGTCATCTGTTGCTAGGCAATGGCATAGTAAACACACTTCTACATCATCAAACAAGCAGGCCATATACACACAACAGAGGAACTGTTGGTGGCTTTTTTTCTATGTGGTCCAAAGTGAGGCTATACAGTGAGAGCTGTCCAAGCAACTTAGTTCAGTCATGAGGTAGTTGCAAGCCAGCTACCATCCACTGAGGATGCGAGTACCAAAGCAAAAGAACCCACAAATAATGATTGGTGAAGACACAGAAGATTGTGTGCTGCAGTACAGTGATTTGTAGTAAGAGTGCTTAGATCTGTGAATCCATTATAATTATTTGTAATTATGAATATAAGTGTCCAATAAACCAAATTACTAATCCAAATGCTGTGTCTAGTCACTAACATGTGCCAACAGTTTTTGCAGTTTGTCTAATGTGAATGAAAATCATTATGATCATGCATCTTCAATAGAAACTACGTTATACGAGGTGGTATCAGAAAGTTCCCAGATTGTTACTGTTGTAACTGCCTTGGTAAAATAAGATGAGAGGAGAGGCCAAGGTCACACTTCTGAAAGCCTACTGTCTCAGTCTGCCACATGACACTGTGCTGTGAACACGCACTGTTTTTACACGAGTGCTTTTCTGACTTCTTCATTCCGTCTGAAATGTATGGAAAAGTCGAGCAACATGTCTGCATCAAGCTTTGCATGAAGCTTAGTAAATCACCTACCAAAACCCTTGAAATGTTTCATGAGGCTTTTGGTGAACATTCTTTAAACTGGACAGCGGTTTTTGAATGGCATTCGTGTTTCAAGGACAGTCGAGTGTCAGTTGAAGATAATGAATGTTCAGGGCAACTAAGTACCAGCAAAACGACAGAAAATGTTGAAAAAAATTTAGAACTCAACCATGAAAACCATTGCCAATAAATCCATGAGCTCCCAGATACGGTTTGGATGAGTTACAGAGTTTGCCAGTAGGTCATAACAGAAAATCTGAACATGCACCGCATGGCTCCTTCATCATGACAATGTGCCCGCCCACATGTCCCTGAAAACCACGGAGTTTGTAACTAACAACATGATTATTGTTCCCCATCCTCCCTACTCACCAGACTTAGCCCCCTGTGATTCCATTTTGTTTCCTAAATTTTAAATTAAACTGAAGGGATGACGTTTTGAAACAGTGTCTGACATCCAAAGGGAACTGCAAGCGGTCCTAGATAGCATTAAGGAAAATGACTACCACTGTGCTTTTGAAGCATGGAAAAAACGATGGGATTGCTATATATGTTCCCAAGGAGACTATTTTGAAGGAGATGGCAGTCAAAATTGAGTAAGTTAAAGCAGAATTTCTTTTCTGACCTAGTCCGGAAACTTTCCAATACACCTCACATATTTCTTTACAAACGCCTTAAAATACATTTTTTCTAATACTGAAATATTATATACTATAAAACCGTACCTATTTTTGTTGTGATTATCAGAAACTAGATTTTAGTTTAGATGTGAAGATTTGGGGCCATAGTTCTAAAAATTGTAGCTAATTGTTGTAGAAGAGGTGGGCATATTTTATGATGTGCAGCACTTACAATTTTGAATTTTAGAAAACTTTTTCCCCATACAGATTTTTAAGGTTAAGATGATGACTGTGTGGGTGTGCATGTGTATGTGTGTTATTACCTTACAACTGATATTTATGGCAAAATTATACACTATATAAGCATTAAAAAATTCTTTGTAAACATGACAAGTTTCAAAATCAATTAGGAGAGGAATAAATTCATAGCTGAAAATTAGCATCCCAATCAAAATCTCTGATCATGTTTTCTTTCTAAAAATCTGTAATTCTATCTGTTGTTTAAAACAGGAGTAAAAGCATGGCCTCATATTTGCAATGAAGAAAAAAGACCAGAGGAGTATGAACATGAAATGCTAAAGAAGATATCTGGACCAAGAGACGTGAACTAAGATACTCACAAAATGACTGTACAAGAACAGGGATATAAACTACCCAGCACTGTAAGGTTGGTGGCCATCCTTCAATTCAGCAGGTATTGCAGTTATCACCTGGGAACAGGTAGTTTCAATCTCTTGCTTCAGTATGGTTGGCAGCTATAATTTAATTTGGGGGCAACATTTGGCCAGCTTGGATTGCACACCTAGTTATAATAATGTGATTCATGGCTAGTAACGTTTCTACTAGTGAGAGTGAGAGGGGTAGGACATATAGCATGCATGTTAAAAATAGGCCAGAAGTGGCCGCAGTACAATGGACCTAGTCCCACCCCACCAGCAATATATAAAAATAAAATGCAAGTTTAAAAAAAAGGGCAATGCATATAAATATGTGGTTGAAAATATTCAAGGAAAGAGATTTCTTAAGAAATGAAGTTATTAATAGGAAGACGGCAGAAAACTAATCCAGGAAAATACACTGTTAGGAAACTGACAGGATTCTTAGAATATGGACTAATTATAGTCTTCTGTGTGGGTCCCATAACAACAGAGAACATTCCTAACAGTTCACTACCTATGAACTGGTCAGGAAAGACCCTGTCACACTGAGATGACTATTCAGTCAATGATATAAATATGCTGTTCTGACTAATGCCTCGGGATATGGTGCATTCTAGCTTCTTTACCTCTGCATACCTAAGCAAGGTTAAAAAGTTTGTTTCAGAGGTAGAAGAACCTATGAGGTGGACTCTGCTAGACACCTTGCTAGGGGAGAAGTTATGTAAATATGAAACAAATAATCTTAACTGCAAATAGAACTTCTAATGATGTCTAGGGGTACACTAAGATGACACACCATTCTGGGATTGGAAGTTTATTGCTACATCAGGAAGTTTACTCCTGCCAAGAATATACTTTTTTTTTAATTCGCTTAGTGGGGGGTGGAGTCCAACTGGGTCCACTCAGCACGGCAGCCACTAATTGGCCTATTGTAGCCTGCCCCGGGTGATTATGATGATGGAGAATTTGGTGGAATGAAGATTGGCAGGAGAAACTGAAGTACTTGGAGAAAACCTGCCCCAGCGCCACTTTGTACACCACAAATCCTCTTGACCAGACCCAAGATCAAACTCGGGCCGCTGCAGTGGGAAGCCAATGACTAACCGCTTGAACTATAGTGCAGCCTAAGAATATACTTAGTCTTGTATGAACAGCTGTAACATGCTGTAGGTATCCATCTCATCCTTACCTGCACCACTACGCCGTGCAGACATTTCTATAACAGGAGACCATGAATCTGTCTCAGGATTGTAACACTCCACAGAACTTAAACACTGCCTCGATGCACCATCATAGCCACCAACCTGGTACAAGTGAAACATGTGTAACTTTGGCTCTCGTGGTGTAGCCACTAAAGCCAAAATGCTCAAGATTGTCAAACTTAAACTAAAAACTGAAGTTACACATTAAACAGGCTGGAAAACCAAAGGACTGGAAATAAAAAATAAGTCATACTTTCTCACATGCCTGAGTCTCCATAGTAAGACAACATTCCAAATTGATAATCTGTACCATCGCATTTCATATATTTTATGTTGTAAATTAACTGCTATATATGTATATAATATTCCTCCTTTATTTGCTTTAATTACACTTCCTGATAACTGAATTTGGAGAATTATCCAAAGAATGAACACATGCATTATACTGTATGTCCAAAAAGTATCCAACTTTAATTTTTTCCGCTGTAAGTAACGGCCAAAGGGGTGGGGAAACTGAGCATAGTGGTAGAAGGGACTTTCATGCGCATGCGTGATTTTTTGCTGACTCGCAACACTGCCGGATGCGTCTGGCTGCCAGATAGCAAAGTGGTGTAACACGTGTTCGTCGCATTCTCGTTTCACTCAAGATCACAGAACGCTTGGAGCAGCGATACTGCATTAAGTTTTGTCAGAAACTTGGGGATACTCAAGTGGAAACAATTTGCAAAATTCAGCAGGCTTCCAGCAATGATGCAATGGGAGTCACTCAAATTAAAGAGTGGTTCAACCGCTTTAAACATGGCCATATGTTGGCAGACAGTAAGCAGTGTTCCGGGAGACCGTCAACGAGCCGAAATGCTGATGTCAATAAAAAAGTGCGGACACTGATCATGGGGGACCATCGTTTGGCCATCCTTGAAGTTGCTGATGAGGTTGGGATCAGCAGAGGTTCCGCAAACACAATTTTAACTGAGGATTTGGGCATGCAAAGAGTGGCGGCAAAATTTGTGCCCAAGCTGCTTTCGCCGGAGCAGCAACAACTCTGCCTTGAGGTCACACAAGACATGCTGGAGTGCGCCAACAGGGATCCTGAGTTCCTGAAGACTGTGATCACTGGTGACAAGTCGTGGATGTATGGATATGACCCGGAAACCAAGGTCCAGGCGTCACAATGGAAGCATCAACATCCCCAAGGCCCAAAAGAGCACGGCAGGTTCGGGGCAATGTGAAGGTGATACTTTTTTTTTATTACCGGGGTGTTGTGCATCATGAGTAAGCACCACTAGGCCAGACTGTCAATAAGGAGTACTACCAAGAAGTCCTCCGCCATCTTCGTGATGCAGTTCGGCACAAGAGACGGGAGCTGTGGGACGCACGCAACTGGCAGCTGCATCATGACAACGCCCCACACCTGATCCAGGGTTTCCTGGCCAAGCATGGCATTCCGCAGGTTCACCAGGCTCCCTACTCTCCTGACATGGCTCCTTGTGATTTCTGGCTGTTCCCGAGCTTGAAGATAATGCTAAAAGGCTGCCGTTTTGACAGCCATGAGGACATCATACAGAATGTGATGGCGCAGCTGCACACCATTCCAAAAGAAGCCTTCCAGAATTGCTTCCAGTGATGGAAGGACCGCTGGGCTAAGTGTGTGGAGTCACAAGGGGCCTACTTTGAAGGCGATTAGGTATTGTAACCACCCAGACACAGAAATTTTTTTCCCTGGCCCAAGGTCAGATACTTTTTGGACAGAGTAGTACATCCATGCAAAAAGATCATACAGAATTCATTCACTGTTCCTGAAATGAGGAATTTTACACGCAATTTATAACATCATGAATTTCTCTCTTACTACAACAAATAACTGAAACCACATCAAGACAGAAGTATATACAATCCCAGAAATGTCATTTATATCAAATGAGTCACAATGCAATCCTGCCATAACTGAACAGAAGCTTACAGCATAAAGCAACCCATTAACAACACCAACTCCAACACTACTCCTCCTAGTAGACATGGGAGCTATCATCCTCCATTCATGAGTTCGTGGATCATACATTTCTGCCGAATTCAGGCCTGTTGATCCATCAAATCCACCCACCTGAGAACAATTAAAATTGAAATAATTATGTGGATCTATATGAATAGGACAAGTTCCAAGTGAGTTCCTGCACATTCCATTATAAACTTACTGCATAAATGCAGTTTCCAAGAACAGCAACACCAAGTGTTGATCTCCGTGCTTCCATACTGGCACAAGAAGACCATTGATCCAAAGCAGCATCATACACATCAACAGTTCTGACCCTCAAGGAGCCATTGAAACCACCAACAGCATAAACACAACCACCGATCATTGATAAGCCTGCCCTGTACAGGAACAGTAGTCAGCATTAATTTCAGACTCCCATTAAAAAATCCTGAAACATCATAGGCTATAAGCCAATATATATAAACTTAACATTTCTGAAGTTACCTCCATGCATGATGTGAATACAATAAATGTATTTTCTTTTTGTAGGAGCCCTACTGATGGAAGCAGAACAGGCTTCTGAAACACGGCATTTTACACAATAAAACTAAAGTGAATTATGCCACCATTAAAGTATTGTGGTTTTTTAAAATCTCAATTCTTTCATGGTAATTTATACAGGGCACTCAATTCCTTTATTAGCTAAACCATACTTTTCTCAATGCCACATGAACATATTGGAAAAATATAGAATATAAGAGGTGCTATCAGAAAGTTCCCAGACTAGGTCAATAAAGAAATGCTGGCTTAATTTAACTTAATTTTGGCTGCCAACTCCTTCAAAATAGTCTCTTCGGGATGCTTACAGTGATCCCATCATTTTCTCCATGCTTCAAAAGTACTATGGAAGTCATCTTCCTTAATGCTGCCAAGTACCACTTGCAATTCCCTTTGGATGTCACTATTCCAAAATGTCGTTCCTTCAGTTTCATTCTCAGTTTGAGAAACAAAATGAAATCACAGGGGGCTAAGACCAACAAGTAGGGAGGATGGGGAATGATAACCATGTTGTTGTTAGTCACAAACTCTGTGGTTTTTGGGAACATATGGGTGGGCGTGTTGTCGTAATGAAGGAACCAGTTGGGGTTGTGCCCAAGTTCCAGTCTTTTTCATTGCACATTTTCTCTCAACCGTCTTAAAACGTCACAGTAAAAGCCTGAGGTGACCATAGTGTTAGGAGGAACAAATTCATGGTGAACAATCCCCTACATGTTAAAAAAAAAAAAACAATGAGCATGCTCTTTGTTGAACTCTGGACCTGCCACACCCTTTCTGCTCTTGGTGATTATGGACTCCTCCACTACAATGATTCTGCTTTGTTTCTGGATCATAACCATAAATCTAACATTCGTCACCCATTATGATCCTAGAGGTAAAAGTTGGGTCCTCATTAGCCTTCTCTTGTAGCTCAAGACATGAGTTTATGTGCCGCTGCTTTTGATCATTTGTCAACAGTTGGGGAACAAACTTCGTGGCAATGCGATGCCTATTAAAATTTTCTGCTAGGATCTTCTGGCAAATTCCGTAACAGATCCCAATGGTGTCTGGAAGCTCATGGATTGTTCGGTGACAGTCTTCATGGACGAGTTCTTGAATTTTTTCAACATTTTCTGTCATTTTGCTGGTGCTTGGTCGCCCTGAACTTTTGTCAACTTCAACTGACACTTGACTGGCCTTGAAACGTGAATGCCATTCATAAACCCTTGTTTGGCTTAAAGAATGATCTCCAAAAGCCACACGAAGCATTTCAAGGGTTTCAGTAACAGATTTACTGAGTTTCACACAAAACTTGATGCAGACTCATTGATCAATTTTGCCAGTCATCACAGGCAATAATGAAACATAAAGGCAAAACAGCAATTGTGTAAAAACAAAAAATGTTCACATGGCAGACTGATGCAGTAGGCTTGCAGAAGTGTGACCTAAGCCTCCTAATCTCCTTTCACAGAGGCAGTTACAACAATAACAGTATGCAAACTTCCCAATAGTGCCTTGTATAATACAAACTTCAAGAATTACATTAGATGTAAGCTTCACATTCCATCTTAATTCTGAAAAACTGTGATCATATTAAACTTCAACAGAGCAATTTAAAAGAAATATTTATGCAACAAGATAAGGTATTTCATCTTCAACAAGATCGAAATAAGATGAAGAAAGTTAAAAATAAATTATGCATTACAGCATCAATATTTTCATGCTTTCGACTTCTCATTTTAACGGACTTCACTGTATGCTCTGTTCACATTTAACAAGTACATAATAGTGTCATAGCTAATTCTTATATTTCTCTGTGTGTATGCTTTCACATTTCCCCCCAAAGCTGTTTCCACCTTGTCGTGGTGGCACGGCTTGTGTGATTCTGTGACCTGGAAAGCTATGCCAGCAGTAGTTTATCTACTGGTAGGGTCACCCATGTCAGAAAGGTAAAAGGGTAGAGTCCAGACTAAGAGTGATACCCTGGTCCTCCAGGCTGGGGGTTGGTCATGAGGCAAACAACCTCATACTGTAAAAAAAATGTTGTTCAGAAACCTAACAACCATCCTCAGGTCATCATGCATGGGTCCATTCCTATGGCAGCACGCATTGGTTGCGGAGACTGGTTGTAGAGGAGGCCAAGGCTCACCCAGGGCTGTAGCGCCGAGTGGTGGGTAGGTGGGTGGGTAGGTAGGTGGGTGGGTAGGTAGGTAGGTAGGTAGGTAGGTATGCTTTCATATTTAATATTTATTGTACATACAATGATGTAATATAAAGTAGCATGGATTTACAAATACAAACCACTCCATCTAATGTGACCTATAAGTTTTTACTACATGAAAACTTATCTCCCTTACATGTTTTGGCCCTTACGGACCATCTTCAGAGGGAAACATCATTACAAAAGTTGTTTTGATTTAAATTACATACACTTATATGCTACAATGTATGGTACACATAAAGTAAAACACTTCACAATCACAGCAGCTTCCTGGTACTGTAAAGTTTTTAAAAGTTNTTGTACATACAATGATGTAATATAAAGTAGCATGGATTTACAAATACAAACCACTCCATCTAATGTGACCTATAAGTTTTTACTACATGAAAACTTATCTCCCTTACATGTTTTGGCCCTTACGGACCATCTTCAGAGGGAAACATCATTACAAAAGTTGTTTTGATTTAAATTACATACACTTATATGCTACAATGTATGGTACACATAAAGTAAAACACTTCACAATCACAGCAGCTTCCTGGTACTGTAAAGTTTTTAAAAGTTTCTAGATATTATTTAAAAATCTGTGTTGTCAATAATTAAAATTTATAAACCATGTGGGTTCGTGTCCGTCGTCTTTTCGTCCTTCTTGCATGGGGCAGATTTTGTGCCACCTGTCCATCTTGATGAGGAGGTTCTTGATATCGTCCAGGGTCTGCTCGTGGCCTCCTGTGTTTTCACCGAAACATGTAAGTGAGATACGTTTTCATGTAGTAAAAACTTATAGGTCACATTAGACGGAGTGGTTTGTATTTGTAATTGTTAGTGTGACGGACCAGAATGAAACAAATCAAATTTAGCATGGATTTACAATACTAAATTTAATCAAAATCCATTCACCTATGTAGATCTGATTGGATGGAGATAGCAAACAAATGATCATAGCCCCACAGTGTTTTTAAGTACTTCTATAAATTTTTATAGAGTGTAGCAGGGAACAATATTGAACCAAAACAGTTTAGTGTGATGAACTCACTTATGTTTAACCATTTGTTACACAACAACCAACAGAAGTTCAAATGTTACAGCCATACACTATTACCACACTGCAAAATGTTATCAGTTAATATTATTCTCCTGAATGTACTAGCAGCTGTTTCTAATACTATGCATATTGCTCCAATAATAATGGCACTCCCAGGGAGTTATGTACAAGCACTACCCATATTTCTAATGGCAACTTGTAAGGCATTTCCTCATAAAAACAAGACTGTATATTAACATATTACATAAGGTAGTAGAAGTAGCATGCATGTATTGTAACTCACCTACAGCGCCTTGTGGGCATCTCTGCTACTTGATACCATCTTTCTTCTTTGAAATCATAACATTCAACACTACGAATTGCTTTAGGGGCCTGTCCACCCACCACAAGAAGAACCTAATAATCACACAGCAGAAAATACAGGCAACCAAATTAGTATGTTAACATTCCACAACTGCATACAAATTTGAAGTTGTGATCTGAACATAAATTAGTAATGCTGCCATCAACTAAAGCAAGCTACAGCCATCTTAAATTTTCCTATGAATGTAAGACTTAAGTCTTAAATTAAATTTAACTATATATTAAAAAAAACATAACAAACACGTTTATGAATATACATATTACATACCTTTGGTAATCCAACAGGCTGTCTAGGTTTCGTTCTTGGTGTTTTGAATAAAATCTTCTGTTCGCCTTTCAGTAAATGATATTTCAGAGCTTCAATAAGGTAATCTTTACCTGCAACAGAAACATTCAATACACTACATTTTAAGCTTTATGTAATAATTTTTATCACTGAAGAAAACTGAAGTAATACTAACATTGCAAATTAGCTTTGAGCAGTGGCTCTTCCTCCACCCTCTGCACAAGGTACTCCTGTGACAGCAATGGCAACCGTACATGCTCCATCAACTCTGCTAAGTGCATCTGTCTGTTTTCCAAGTCATGGTGTACCCATGCAATCACACATTCAAACACCTGTAATTCAGCAATAACATATCAGAGCTGCTAGGTGCAGCTGATAAAGAATTCTGCACTGAAATATATTCTCAAAACAATTACCCTGATTATATGAATGTTAGTCCCTTTAACATGACATTTTTCTTTGTAACACAAGTATGTTAAAATCCACTTTATGTCATTCTGATATTCTGTGTGTGTGTGTTGGGGGAGGGGGGTATTCATCCCTCTAAATAAAATGATGGCTTTTACTATGAGTAGCAATGTGAACATAAATTTACAGTCCAGCAGTAAAATGTAATTTTGTTCCAAGCAAATTCTGGGATAATGCCTTAAGTTAAGCCATGAATGCATCTTTCCAATTCAATATTCAATAATTATTCCATCACTCAATACTACATAACCTGAGCTATTGAAAGATTTCTAAATAAATACACAAATAAAGGTATAAGCTTTGTTTACAAACTTATCATGCACCACAGCACATACATCTGTTCTTGTAGAAACAAAATAAATATTCGGAATTACTAGGTTTTTGGACTTTGTCCATTGCCCAGTATTCTGAAAATAAATATTGTAACACGAGGGAACATTCAGCGAATAGAAATGACACATATGAAATTAGGTATTATATTAGATTAGACAATGGCCATTACTAGGCAACGCTCTGTAAATTGCAGCAGAGTAGCTGTGTTTTCAGTGCAGTTCTTGCTAAGATGTTACAAACAGGACAGTTTCTTCAACCAGGCAGTTTAGTTGAGTTGAGTTTGTTGATGAGTGGCTGAGTTAGTCAGAGAACTGCTGACGTTCAGTCGTGAGCTGTTGCTGTGAGAAGCTGTTAACTGAGGCCAGGGTTAGCTCAGGAACCCAGATGAAGAGGAACGTCTGCCTTTGGAAGCCACTACCGAGCAATGACTAGTGAAGACATGACTATGGACACTCTTGATTATGTAATAGTGAAATGTAAAGTGTGGTCATGCACTGTTATGTAAAGGAGTCCAATAATTCCAGTCATCAATCCAAAACTCCATCTGTAGTCAGTCTATTATGTGACAATATCAATATGTTTTACAAAATATGTTATTTGAAACTTGTTTGAATAATAACTTTACCTTAACATTTTCATATTTAAAAATATATCAAACACCTTATTTTTCTCATAAAATTATGTTCTGCATAATTTATTTGTAAAGGTAGAATTAAAGTTATCCCCGGGCTTAATTAAGAACTATGGCATGAAGACATAAGAGGGAGTGGAGGTATAGAGCCATGTATTCTTGACCTTAGCACTAGTTGGAAGAGTGGTCAGTTTCATGTCCTGCTGCTTTATCCCAGGATATACAGCTCCCAATACCCATTGGGTAGGAGGGTGGGTGAGCTCCAGAGTTGGCCTTTACATCATGGAGTAGAGAAAAATCTCTTGCCCCTACCAGGAACAAAACCCTAACTTCTTGGTCATCCAGCACATAGCCTAGTCAGTACAATTCAAGTAACCGTACAACTTACACAACTACTACTGTACATTAGAGAAGCACAGACTCAAAGCATTCTCCTTCACTATTCCCACTCACTTCACACATGCACTGCTTTCTTTGTTTCTAGTCTGACTGGCATCAGATATATCTTAAAAGAGTCTGAGTAAGTCTACTTCTCACTTAACTTTGTTTCAGCGCACAGCTTGGACTGAGCATAAAATGTCCTAAGTCTGTCATCAGAAGGCATAGTGAATATTTATTTACTGAAGGGATAACAGTCACACATATCACTTGTTCTGTCACTGTCAGTAACTGATGATATCCAACACAGACAGTTGCAAAGTGGTTTACTTTAACTTGCTGTAAATACCGTATTTACACATGTATATGCCGCGTGCGTGTATAGGTCGCAGCACAATTTTGAGACAGAAATTATAGGAAAAATAATTTTCTTCAAATATTATTTCAGGAGTATTACACCCTGTATTACTAATTATGAATATAATTTTTTTTAAATGAAGTGTGATTTTGAATATTTCGAATATAAGCCGCACCCCAGTTTTCCTCTTGAATTTTTGGCAAAAAATGTGCGGCCTATACATGCGTAAATATGGTATATGCCAAAGAAAAAGTAAAATTAATCTGATGAAGTAATTTACCATGTGACATGAGGGCTACCTGCACCTCACCAATTCATTCTGATTGGCCAACAAAAAAACGTTCCTTCTCATTACATAGGATACGGAATTTTATCAGAAACACTTTACTAAAAGTGATTACTGGCTCAACAGTGTAATTTTTCAACTGATTTCACATGACTGCTAATAAATAAGTTGGAAAGGTATGCAACTAGCATACCTCCAAGACTTTGTGCGATACTGACACAATCGAGTAAACTTTTAGCAGCAAATGATACTGACACAATCGAGTAAACTTTTAGCAGCAAATGTTTACGCACTGCTGGCCTACCAGGATTTAGTTCATACGAAGAGTTCTGTCTTCTGGGATAAAATGCTGTGTACTCTGCTAAAAGTCAACCAACACTGAGGAGAAACATGTTGCCTCCATCTTCAAAGCTGAAGAGTAAGCCCAGCAAGAAACATGCATGAAGCAGGCAACAAAGTCCTCAGAAACATCAGTTAACTCTCACCAGACTATACGGCATTATATCCCAGGAGACAGAACTCTTCATAACGACCGCCATGAGAATCTCAAATCATACATCTAAGTTACAAGTTTTTGAGCGCTACAGATACAATCTGAATCATGTTCTTGCGCTTCATACTTGTACTTCTGGTCACTGTAGGGCAGACAGTTGTACTGGTATGCTGGAAAAAATATATACTTTTATATTGCAGCCCACAGATTAACACTTAAGATACATGACTTCTCATGGTGGCCAACCGTGATTCACCACATAGTGTTATATGTGAGCTGTATGTAGAATGTAGAATATTCTTCATTATGTTCAAAAATATAACTATTAACATTTCACGCAGTAGCATAGTTGGCTCAGGCACTATGCTACAAGACAGAAGGTTGTGGGTTCGAGTCCCAATGAGGTAATTTTTTTTTTCAATTTACCTAATCCTTCCGGGCACATTATGGCCCTGGGGTTGACTCAGTCTCTAACAAAAATGAGTATCAGGAATATTCCTGCGGGTGAAGGGTGGCTGGCGCATAAGGCTGACAACCTCACTGCCATCTGTGAGCCAACTGTCTAAAGAAAATGTGGGAAACTCAATGTCTCACAACCCTATGGGCCTTCATGGCCTGTTACAGGGATACCTTTACCTATACGTTTTACCCTAACATTTCACTGTATGTTACAATGAAATATATTTGATGACTTCTCTCCATGGGGGCCAGACTTTAATCATAGGGCACTCCATGTAGGATTTGTGGTGGACAAAGTGACATTGGGTAGGAATTTAATCAATTACTTCAGATTCCTCCTTACAATCATCATTCTTTCAATGCTACATACTCATATATAATGGACAAAAAGCTACATGGAGTCCCTATGGTGTCCGTTCATAAAGACTATCTTTGTTGAACAAGCCGAACAGGAAGTTCCTTTTCCTTGCTTGGAAATTGAGACAAACCAATCTCCAAAACATAATTTTTTTATCTGTAATTTGACAGAGGACACTGTCCAACAAGAGTCCTTACAGTGTGAAAAGTATTAATAACCCAAGACTCATTAAATAGGAAATTTCATACAGCCACATTTTATTATACTGGAGTTTTAATATTACATACCATATGATATATTTAGCTGTATTACAGCAGAACTCGTTAATTTGATGCATGGAAACCTCTTACAGAAAGGTACTAAGAGAAAATTTTATTGTAAATGTATGTATTTTCTTGCTAGACAACAGATTCTTACTTTATTATACAAAAGTGTTCAGTTTAGAGAGATTTATTAGACAGTGACACACTAATCACACCATGCTTGTGTGGCTGCCCAATGAACAAAAGCAAGTAAGGCTGTAATTCTATGAAATAGACTCGACCAGCTTCTAGCCAATGTGTAGAGTGTTTCAGCTGGTCACTCATTAAATTCTCAATATGTGAAGTGCCTTTCAAAACTTTAGTCATGTAAAAAAGCTCCATAGATTGTTAGGCTACTTAGAGACAAAACACAGGATTTTCTGTTCACTTCACTTAATGCACACTTCAAATTCTAAAACCTTTATATTTCTGCTTTTTCACACATCTTTATATTCATAGATTTTTCAACGTGTTGGATTGTAGAATGACTAGTGAAAAAGAGAATTCAAGACACATGCATCAAAATGTAAGTATAACATTAGCAGCCTCCGTAGTCTAGGGGTAACGTTCGCACCTCATGACTCAAGATATGCGGGTTCAAACCCGGCAGAGGTCATGGAATTTTTAAGGGCGGAAAAATTCAGGGAACAAGTCCTCCGGGAGGGACTTTAAGCCGTGGGTCCCGTGTCGTAGATTTACAGCACATAAAAGATCCTCATGTCTCTAGGAGACCTCTAAGCAAAATTAGGCAAAAGTTTCTGCCCAAGTAGTTTCCAATGCCTCTGGTAGATGGGGGAAGTATTGGGTACCACTGCCAGTAGAGGGCCGGCCTCGCTGGCTGAACAGGGCTGATAGTGAGCACCAGTACCGGAAGGGTATGGCGATTGGTAGAATATCAAAGGGGGACGTACAATAGACTATTAGTCGCGGTGCATGGGGAAACCCACTCCCTCCAATAATAATAATAATAATAATAAGTATAAGTATAACATTCAAAGTAACAATAGAGTTGCATCAATACTTTCAATGTTCAACATTCATCACCCATGATTTCCTAAACTTTAATACATCATGCACTAAAACCACATACATGCCTCTAAATAAAAATGAAACAAGAATGAAATGTCCAGTTATTTTTCAGGAAAATATGTAAGCTGACAAAATCATACAAGAAACTGCATGCTTCCAACCTTTTCTTCTGATGGAACTGTAAGCCTGTCACTGCAAATTAGTTTGGAGACTTGTTGGTGGGACAATGTCAGGAATTCTTCACACTCCACAACTTCCCTAAAACCATCAAAACAAAATAAATCAAATTATCTATGTTATGATCTACCTCAATTAGTTGTAAATACAGTACACCAACACATTTCCAAATTATTTTACTAATAATTAACCTTAATTATTTTCATCTCAGAGATTCTTTTCTGCTTACAGCCATCAAGATACGCTTAAGACAGAGGTAAATTTGCCCCCGTGCCCTAAGTACCATGCCATGAAGGTTTACATAATGAGTGGAAGGAAAGCTCCATACATTCTTGACCTAAGAAACAGATGGAGGTAAGTGGTCAGCTTCATGAAAGACACCCTAACTCCCAGTGCCCACAGCATAACATGTTGAGTAGAGAATCTCTGCCAGGATCAACCCTTATCATTTTGCCCATAGTCCTCTGCTTTGCATGCTGAACTGTACTAGTTCACACCCTACAATACCACTGCCACATTTCCTTCTGCAAATGTTTACATTTACATCAACTATTATTCATATGTTAACCATAATTATGTATGTATAATTTCCATGTGTAACAAAAATGGATGTGAAGCATTAAAAACATTACAGACAACAGAGTCCCGAATCATGATACACAAGTTCTCTTCTTAATTATCTGCATTGTTTCAGTGTGGATCATGGACTTAAAATGCAACTTGATCAAATGAGGGACCCTAAAATAAATAAGAAATAATAGTGGTCCCAGTACAGAGCCTTGTGGCACTCCATGTTTGACCATCATCCATTTAGAGGATACTTTATTCAATTTATTATCATTTATAATCGTTCTTTGATATCTATTTTCAAGGTATGATTTCATTAGTTTTATTGCTGAACCCGAGATTCCATAAAATTTCAATTTTTCCAGTAATACATTGTGATTTACACAATCAAAAGCCTTTTGTAAATCACAAAATAATCCACCCACATATTCTTTTTTGTCCAAAGAAGTTAATATATTATCTAAAAGATTATATGTTGCCATTTCAGTAGATGATTCTCCTCCTTTAGCAAATCGCTGCTCTCTATCAAAGTTTTTGTATCTTTTCCTGCATTTTTTATATACCTTAATACTAAATTCAATATCGTAAATTAAACAGTTCAAAATAAAGGATCAAAATTAAATACAGTAAACCCTTGCCAATCTGGATTAAATGTGGGGAAGGCACCTGGATTAAGTGATAATCCATATTACTGAAGTATGCAAATGAAACCATATAAGCAAAAACATCAGCCTGACTAAGGGTCAACAGTGATACTGCACAACATGTATGTTCGTCTCTCTTTGTAAAGTCAATCAGCCTGCAGTCAGAGTTACTCATCTACCTTGCTAAATGCCATGTCTCTCTTAAAGTATGTACTCCACTGTGAAAATTTTTCATTTTTCACATTTTGATTTGGATTATCTGACATCTGGATTAACGATAACCAGATCAGCGAGGGTTTACTGTATGACTGTTCCTAGAAACCATTTTCAAAATGTTTCTCTTTGGTGATGGTTGTAGTGGTGGTGGAGGGCATAGCAGTGATAGTGCCAGTGGTGGTAGCAGTAGTAGTAGTAAATTTCATCTACTTTTCCTTTTATTCTTTTTTCTCCCTCTTTTGCTTTCTTCTTCACAGCTAAGACCAATGGCTCCAGAATGCCAATAATTCTCTTGGTCAACCAAGAGCTCTCTTCTATTTTCATTTCTACTTAAGAACGTTCTATACTATGTCTTTAATATCAAATGTTTAGTTTCTAATCCAAATATTCAAGAGTAGTCACATATATTTACATATGGAAAACAATATGGCAAAAAGGTGATGTTGGAATACTTCATACTTTTATATAGAGCATAAGGCTTATGTTGCCATGCCAAGGCAGTCATGATCATCAGTTCAATGGCAATGCCGACAGTTTCCTGTCCAAAGACAAAATTGTTATAACTCTAGCCTTATAAACACTTACGGAAAATGCTGTTCAATGTATGTTTCTGCATGACTTAACAGTTCCAGACAACCATGAAGATCAGCAAAGGCTCTGATTCCAAGACAGTTTGTTGGATGCAATTGAGCTTGTAAGAAATCACAACATGCATCCCTCACGTCTGTCAGCTGTAATAAATTTGCTGCTGGAAGCAGTACCTAAAAAATTTATATAAATATTATCCATGCAAGAATAATCTGTGGTAAATGACACACATACCAATTCCTGAAACCTGCCGTTTTGGAGTGTAATGAGTGGACTGAATTTGCAATGTAAAAAATCTCCTACCTCACCTTTATGTAATGTATCATATTATTATAAGTGACACTCTGGAAACTAAGTCAGGCAGAATAATCATACCTTGAAGGATTGGAAGAGTAAATGGTACTCCCAAATTCAAACACCTGGATCATAAAGAGTATAACTATTAAATCTTATGTGCAGAAAATGTCATCATGTTTTTTGTTAAATTAAATTTCGGTTTTTAAGTTCTGGACTTCATTCAACAGTACAACTGAAGGCGAATTTACTTCCAATTCCTTAACAATAATATATTCATTTTCACATCTGTCTCCATGAGTTTATTCATTCCATATGATAATACCATAAACAGTGGCAGGAGTTTCACTTTTCTGACATTATTTTTGCCACATCCTAGTACCTTTATTCATTTGGTGCACTAATTAGCAAACAACTGTCCACAGGAAAGTGATCACTCAGGGAATGCAAGTTTGTAGTCGTAGTGTTGAGATGATGTCAATTGATGTCAAATGATTCATATACCCCAAACTTTGTAAAGAGCCGTTGGTGGGCCATTTAAATAAAAGCAACAGTTAGAATACATATTCATTTATGTGAAAGGGTAGCATGATTTTTTAAATTCTGAATTTAATGCAATAATCACGAAGAATGCCATCTTCTTGGATGTGATACCACATAGATCTAGTGTAAACCAACGTTTCAGAGGAACCCATGAAAACCTCAAATCTTACATGACTGCAATAATTCTTCATGAATCTTTCTCAATAAGCAGATCTATAATATAGTCAACTGTTCATGGACCAGTAATAACTCAAACACAGAAATGGAATAGCACATTTTAAGTTTGAAACCTATATATTACAAACATACCTGGACATTTTCTTCTGTTACATGAACTTCTGATGAGTAGACATATTCTATTAGGAGTTGCAATGCCTGAGAATCTACCCCTTGCAGTGTGATACGTTCTTGCTTACTTTCTTCAAAACTAGTGAACATGGCATAAAAATATGGACTGCAAGCTGCTAACACCATCTTATGGGCTGGCACTTCTATGCTGTCAGCAACTAGTGTTACGTCACATAAGAGATTCTGCCTATGTAAACATAACATCAAATTTATGTATAATAAACTCTGTCTGATTGTAGCACTTGTGTTTATAATAACGTATAATGTAAATACTTACTTCCTCATGACATTCATTACATCAAATGCCCTGTGGGTATGGTGGTGATTTCGATATGGAGGTTTCTCTTTACTGCTAGGTCGTGGAACATGTTTCTGTGAACTCTCATCTAGTGAATTCTGACTTGCATAGCGGAGCAGGAGGCAGCTATTAGAGGAACACAACGTTCTAAATCAGCACGTTATGTAATTTACATGTGAATAGAGTACAAGGTTCAATATAGATTTTTATTTGTGGATTTTGCGATTAACTTTCGTATAACTTTTAATAATTTTACAAGCAATGTTGGATTCTCTCAAATATAAAATTGTACATTCTTTTCAATTACATACTTCACACTTAATGATAATTTATTAATATCATCGTTTGTTAATGACGCGAGATCTTATTTACAACGACTAGCCTAACCTACCTTCCTTGTTTCTCAATACCGGTCTCTGCTGAATTAATTTGTCCCACTGCATCCATTTCTCTGTGATATAGTCAACTTGAAACATGCAATATAGGTAGATTTTTTCAGAGTTTATTCAGTTTATATTTGCGAAACTATTACGTCGCGAGACTTTCCTACGACAACATTTCGGCCATCTTGTCTGTTACTAATTTTACTTCTCACAGCTTTCTATATGTAATCACCAACCATCCACTCTGCCTGATCAACACAAAAATTTTCGATCGACATCGTGTTAGACAGCCCGGTCCAGTTCGAAAACGTCGTGCGCGTTATGCTAGTGATTATTAAATTCTGTCTGTGTTGTGCAAATTTATTATGCCACATTTTATTATCAATTTACAAGAATTATGTAAATTAAAATTAAGTCAAAAGTTGCTTCTCATTGAAAGTAATTGTTCAAAATGGAGTTTTGGCACTGTAAATTTGTTTTGTGAATACCCCTCCCATATGTACATTTATAAAGGGCTCTGATTTAGCTGCCATGCATACTGAGAAACAATTGCTTCATACCAGCAAACTTTCCAATCATTACAAACCATCTGCTGGTCTATTGTATATTTCAGTATGGAGAGGAATGCAAGTGTAAGAGTACCAGCAGACATGTTTCAGTAGAACAATGTCACACACACACACACATCTATATATATAGCATTGTCATTGTACAATTTTAGATTACCATAGCAATGAGTCGTTTAATGTTAAAACACTGCATGAACATAAATTAAGTAGTAGGTCACACACAAGCAAGCAGTCATTTTTCCAATGTAGCATATCTATTCTGGGGAACTAATAAGATGTTGTAGTGGATATATAAAGTATGTTATATTCTATAAACGTGATGGCTTATGGTTGACTACTTTTTTGTGCTATTCATGAGAAATGGCGCTGTCGGTCTCAACATATCATTTGATAACACGTAGAAGAGGAAAAGAAAAGGGTTGAAAGCAGGGGAGTTAGTAGTATGAAAGCTTATGTAACAAATGATGGAACTTCTGTTGAATTCCCAATGAATATTACACTAGTATTTCTGTAATGTGTGTGTGCGCTTGTGTGCATGTGTCCTTCAGGAAAATAATTAATTTTTCTCTATGTATGTGATAAGGTTTTGTTCCTTCACATGTTGTGTCCATAATTTCTAGGATTTCTAATTTCATTATTTCAAATTATATGCTCTATTCATTCCAAATACTTGTACCCTTGATTTTGTCTTTTAATATAAATCAAGGCACATTTATTCAGTTTCCATTTTTCCAGTTTTTTGTTCGTTCAAAGCAATATTATCTTCATAATTATGTAAATGTTTATAAATAATAAATATTTGAAATACACTTAAGAAATATTGATTAAAATGAGATTTGAAATAATCTTTTAATATTGACTTCAATATTTTTATAACATATTTAAACTTTTAATGGTGAATGGAAGATTATTGAAGAATTAATTCTTGTATAATACACTTCTTTTCTGATACATAGTGGGGTTAACATTCAGCATATAAAAGGTTATATTTGTGCCTCGTGTTTATGCTGTGTTTGTATTTGTTTGAAACTTTTCAGTGTTGTTGAAAAAAAGTAAAAGATAAAAAGATAAAACTATCGCTGTAACAGGCCAGGAAGGTCCATGGGGTTGAGAGACATCAAGGCTACCACATTTCTTTAGACAGTTAGCTCACAGATGACAGTAAGGTTGTCAGCCTTATGCGCCGGCCACCCATTATCCCCTGAAGATTTCTGGTACTAATTTTTGTTAAGAGGCCAAGTTGACCCCAGGGCCATAGTGCAGCTGGAAGGATTAGGTCAACTGAAAATAATCCACCTCATCGGGACTCGAACTAATAACCTTCCAGCTTGTAGCACAGTGCCTCAACCAACTATGCTACCATATGCCCCATTGAAAAAAGTAAATATATTACTTATTACATAATTTTTTCCACAAGATCTTTTTTAAAATAATCCTGTATGATATTATGACACGGAAATAAGAAAGTAGACTAATTTTAAATTACTGATAACTCTTTCCATGGGTAATGTGATAGTCTCCAGAGCGGTCATTCAGTTCATGTTTGTTAATTTAAGTTATTACCATTTTGTAGGCCAAGGAATTTAGTTGTCCCTACTTCTTCAAATGTTCTATTATTATAACAACCTACATTTAGATTATTATGTTCTTCTGTCTGTTCCAAATTCCATGAAGTTTGTTTTTTCAAAATTAATTTAAACTTTATTGCCTTTTGAATATTCGTTCAAACAAGCAGGAACATCATTCATACAATTTAGAATGTAATGAACTTCTGGATGTAAATTATACCAGTAATAATAGTCTCAGGACACGCAGTAGCATAGTTGGTTGAGGCATTATGCTACAAACCGGAAGGTCGCGGGTTCAAATCCTGATGAGATCATTGGATTTTTTCAGTTGACCTAATCCTTCCAGCTGCGCTATGGTCCTGGGGTCAACTCAGCCTCTAACAGAAATAAGTAACAGGAATTAATTAATTTTCCTGGGGAGTAAAGCGTGACTGGCGCCAAAGGCTGACAACCTTACTGCCATCTTTGAGCTGATTGTCTAGATAATGTGGGACCCTCGACATTTCACAACCCTATGGGCTTTCATGGCCTGTTACAGGGATAGCTTTACTTTTTTACATTAATAATAGTCTGATCTGCAAAATCTGTAGGTTTCATTTGAGAGTTAATGTTGGGGGTACATCGTTGACATATACATGACAAAAGCAGAATACCAAAGTACTGAACTTTGAGTGCTCAACTATCAGTAGTTGTTATGATTTGAATTTGGAAATTTTGTTTATACTTTATATTTTCTGTCATTAAGATATGATTTAATTTAAACCAGGATCCTGTTTTACCTTGAATTCCATAATGTTTTTGTTTTGACAGTAATATGGCATGATTCACAACATCAAATGCTTTATGGGCCGTAAGAATATTCCACCAGTTGCATTAGTTTTCATCCATAAATTTGTACAATGGCTTAGATATTAAGGAAAGTGCGTGGGTTAATGGTGTTTGAGAACAGGCTCTTTAAGAGAATACTTGGATCTCAAAGGGAGAAGTTAATGGGAAGGTGGATGAAACTGCACATTGAATAGCTAAATAACTGTTATACTTTTCCACATATTGTTAGATTATCAAATCAAGGAGTATTAAAATTTTAGGTCATATAACATGCATGGGAAAAGTGAGAACTGCATATAGAATTTTGGTTGAAAAACCTGAAAGGAAGATATCACCGCAAGACCTAGATATAGATGGGAGGATAATATTAAAACGAATCATGAAGAAATAGTGTTAGAGGTTGTGGGCTGGATTTATTTGGCCCATGATAAGGATGAGTGGCAAGCTGTTTTAAATACTGTAAAGAAATTTTAGGCCCCGTAAACTATGGGGTATTTCTTGACTATCTGAGTAACCATTAATGTCTCAAGTAGAACTCTTCCCCATAGAATGAGTCATGTTTATACTGAATGGCACATCGCAAATAAAAAATATTACATAATTACAAAGACAAAACAGCTCCATCCAGTGTGACTATTGAAGTTTTTACTACTTGTAATTTGTTAGTGTGACAGACCAGAATGAAACAAATAAAAAAATATTACATAACCTTATTTTGTTAGTGAAAAAAGAATTCAATTAAAATTTTGTTAGTTCAGCAAGGTTCCCTGACATTTGGACTCTTGAAATGTGAATCATAGAGAATTGTGGGTAAGAAAAATGTTATTTTGTGAAGAAGAGTTCACGAACCATTACCAAGTGGATGTCAGGTTCCACAAGGCCTAAAAATGAGAGAGCTCTAATGAAAAATATTTCTGTACTGACTGCTGGATGTTACTAGGATTAGCATATTTGGATAGCAGAGATGTGAGGATGGAATGTGTACATCAGTTTCAACCGTCCTTTAACAAAACTGGGTACCTGGTCAATATACTTAGAGAAAATGAATAAATGATACAAATAAACCTTGAAACTAAGAATAATTAAAAGAACTGATTATTTAGTTGTTGGATCTGCGGTTAGGGAGAGTTCTGTGTTCTCTTGATTATTTAGTTCTCTTTTCTTTTTATATGTTTATTGGCACTGGAGGAAACTTTGAAGAAATCCATGTACCATCATTGGTGTATATATTTGCCCTTTGGAATTTAATTTTATACTCGTATACAGAACGTTTTTATATATTTTTAACATCCTGTGTTCGTTTTCGTAAGTTATTTAATGATGTTGATAATGTTACTTTAGCATTGAATGATATATGTATAGATGATTACGGCTGGAAATTTGGAAGAGATGGTGAAGAATATATACAGAAAGACTGACTCAAACTATAACAGTATTAGTTAGGATTCTGACAACAGTTGCTTTGTGTACAGGATTCTCCAAAATATGAAATAGAAACTGAGCTATGTATTACAATACTCAGGGCAACTTTCCTGAAACATAAGTACTATAAAACTCGGGAATGTGTAATTACGTTGTTTCCCACACATGTCAACCTTAGTAAATATCAGTTAGACAGATGTAACTGAATATATCAATAAGATGTGTAAATTCTTGCTTAAGCCTGAATATAGACAACATGAGAATGTGTCTTATAAAATAAACTACGGGCTAAAAGGAACGGAGATAGCCCAGTCATTATAGAGAGTAGGTTGATGAGTGGTTGAACGGGGAAACAAGGACTGTGATTACAGAGTAGATAATGAAAAGTTCAGTCCAGTGTGACATACGAGTCTACAACACTTCAGTCCTCATTCGCCTTACATGTTTCGATTCAAAAGAATCATCTTCAGAGGCGCACCACTACAATAAGGAAACACTGTCACATAAGATATTTAAACAATATGCACTTTAGATATGACTAATGCTCTCTATATAAATTTTGTTATCACGATTGGTTTTGATGTTTGTCTTAGGCACTCACAACGGCGCTTCTTGACGTATAGATTTACTTATGAGTTTCCTTTAGTGTGTTTCCTGGTTATTCTGACTGGGGTTTTTCACTGCACGCAATATGGCGTTCACTTTTCCATACAGTAGCCTCCCATTGTATTTAAAATTGTATTAAAATTTCCATGTAAAAATTAATTATTATATTAAAATATCTTGAGCCAACATTGAGTCATGTTGTTTTCTTCCTGATGGTGGGAGATTT